TGTGATTTTTCAGTTTATTTGATGTTAAAATGCTAGTTCTTACGGACAGTCTTCCATCCATCATCAGGCATGTGTTTTTTTCCTTATAAAATCAAAAACTTGAGACGATATACCTGTATGTCGACCGAAAGATGTTTTTGAATATCTGCTATTATTGACGGTTGTAAGATATCGGAACGTGCAAAGACGCAACGCTAAGTTTTCAAAATTTTTAAGTGAGAATTTTATTTAAATATTTCTTGTGATGTGTTAAATCCACGTATTCTATTTTTACAAGTGTATTCAATTTTTATGTCATGAACTAAGTATATAGTTCAATAATATAGTGTAATGTCATAGTAGTAATTTTTTATAGGAATTTTTTTTTTATGTACTGCGGATCGATAGTTTTAATAAACATAAAACATTAGGCAGCATATGATTTACATACAAAGAATAATCACACATAGAATTAATCAGAAGTATCAATGCGATTATTGGCGACATCCATCGCTAGAAAACATAATATATGCATTAAAATCCTGTTCATCCAAGGATCAAAACTCGTACTATGGATGAACAGGATTTTAATGCATATATATATATATATATATATATATATATATATATATATATATATATATATATATATAAATTAGTCATCTTTTCTTTTATGCGCATGTAAATCACATCAATATAAAACATCATTTTTTAGTCCAGTGATGTACGAAACGACACAAGAAAACATTTTACAATTTTACATAAATTTTCCTTATATATAACCGATTAGTGAGTTCGATCCTAACTTGGTGCTCCTTACTTTCGGCCTTGTGCCAATCTAAGCTACGCTTGGAAAATCAGTATATATATGTATGTATGTATGTATGGGTTGAAAATATGAATTGCTTAAAGAATGTCATGTCAGATCCATATATTTGCAGATAATAACCGTAATACATATTTCACTTCCAGTTTTCGTCATATATCTTCTTTTTTTCTTTAAGTAAAAGCCCCCAACCGTACAAGTGCCTCCTTTTTTGTTTTAAATTAAACCTATTTGAGAGTGATCAGTTAGTGGGATTTTGTGAGGCTCGATGGTAAATATTTCAGAGAAATACTGAGCAGTTTGGAAAATCTGTTTTTACTTTCATACATGATGCTTCAACAATGATCAACGGAACTATGTCTAAACCTTATTTTGAACAATAGCCAAGTAGACTAAGTGTTGGCTCCTGAATTAGGCGATATGGAAATTGTGAGTTCAAGCCGTGGACCTCGTAGTACAGACTTATACTCAATGTAAACAGGACAAGTTATAACTGAGCAGTACTAAATAAGACCAAGATATCCCGAAACATCGACAACAGGACGAGAACACTCTACCCGAGGTGATTAAATAAATAGCTCAATTCGAAATTCCTTGGAGATTATCCGGTTCGATAAAAAGTTCTCTTTTCGCTCTCCATGTTTCGAGATACTTAAACTCGTTCTTATTTTGGTATTCCTCAATTGTTGCTTGCCTTGTTTACAGCCCAGGAATTGAATGCGTGACGTCATCAAATTCACAAAGGAATGATCTAAACCACTAGCCTATTTTCCCATCGGACAATCCTTTAGTTTAGAAATTACTGCCTTAAATCTAATCCGCCTGCTGCTAATATTGCTGCTTGTTAAACTTCACTGGATCAACAAGTACCTGATGAAGGCCGTAGTGCACAACCGGAACGTTGTCATAAAAACAACAAAGATGAGGACAATAGTTCTAATGTAAATAATGAGAACTGTTCATTTTAAAAATTCAAACAGAAAGTATGTTTTATATATTTTGCTGGTTGGGTGAAATGTCACAGTCAGTTGGATTTCGTCAAAGGGCTGTAATTTGCTATAGCTGAGCAATTTTTAAAAAAGTTCAGGCGATCATGGCTCTCCCCAGATTGAATTGCAGTAAAGTCTTTGAAAAGATAGTGGATTGCTTTCTTGTTGACTTCTCAAAGGTTTAAGATTAAAAGTTTTTCTTCTCTTAGAGTGGTTGCCAACCAAGGCTGAAGAACTCATACTACCCTGCTGTTTAACACATAACTGATGGCAGAAGAGAGGGATCCATATCTTTTCTATTAGTGTTAAGTGAATGTAACAAACTAGACAAGAATTTGAGCTCGGCACACCAATTCCAGATAACGCGTCGATAACAGGTACACTACCTGCCCATCTACCATTAATTGATTGCGCAAGAAATAAAGGTTTGAGTAAGTTTGAAAGAAACGGCTTGAAATATTAGTTCCGACAGCAAGGCCTCTGATCGGGAGATTAGAAGTTTTGATGAGCATGGAACCACCTATTAATTGCTGTTGTTCCAGATCCAACCTGACACGGGGTGATAACACCTGTTAGGGTCCCATCTATAGGCAAATAGTTAACCTCCCAACCCGGGTCAAAACACCATGAAAATATAAAAATACATTTAAATAGTAAAAATATGAGCAATACATTTTTATATAAAAACCGACAATATATAATCAACAATTTATCTGTAATGGAAATTGGTTCAAAATGTTTAGTTGAAGCTACAAAACTGTTGAAAATATTAAATGACCCATAGAGGTGTTGATATGCTGCTAAACAAAACCAAACAACCAACATGAATTTCGTGACATTAATCTATATAATATCCTACAATTTCTTAAATCAAACAGACTGTATTCCAAAATATAACTTAAAAAATAACACAATCACCGCTTCTAGTAATTATGTCGGCACACTTGTACATGCATAAAAGCTGAGTATCATCTACCATTTATTCAATTGTGAAAGCAGAATAACATATTATATTTTTATTACTTCAAAATTCCAAAGAAAATTATATTTCGGCATTAAAGGAGCCATAAGTAGTTGATATGCCGTTAAGCAAATCAAAAAATCAACAACAAATATTAGCCTAAAAAATTATACTTATTATATATATATATATATATATATATATATATATATATATATATAGTGTGTGTGTGTGTATGTGTGTCTCAGGTAAACAGATAGAAGCCGATACAAAAGTTTCAATTTCCTACAAAAGTTTCAATTGAAACTTTGTATGGCTTTATCTGTTTACCTTAGACACACATACACACACATATATATATATATATATATATATATATATATATATATATATATATATATATATATAAGTAGTATAATTCATTATCTAACCATACAAATACACATAGACACATTTCCTTCTTTCATTTTTGGATCTTATGAAGCCTACAAAGGCGAAACGCGTAATCAAATCTAGTTTCAATGAAACGTTTTCCATTTGTCAATTTTTTTAAAACCTTTGTCGGGATTCTATATCCTATTTTATACACACACACACGCGCGTGTGTGTGTGTGTGTGTGTATATATATATATATGTGTGTGTGTGTGCGCGCGCTCTCGCGTGTGTGTAAAAATTTCTGATAAAGTGTATCTATTAAAGGACAATATGAATAAAGACAAAAAGAAAACTTATCTTAGCCGACGCGTCCTTGCCTTAATGATTTTGCTCGAGTACGAAATGCGTCGGATAAGATAAGTTTACCTTTTGTCTTTATTCTATATATATATATATATATATATATATATATATATATATATATATATATATAGATAGATAGATAGATAGATAACCATGGAATATTAGTGTTTGAGCTTTTTTATTATATACATATATAAGACCCTATCTCACACATGTACACACACGCATCAGTCTATAACTCTCTTACACATATATAACAATGTAAGACCTCTATCTTATTCACAGACACACAATATGAGATATCTTTCACTCTCTCTTATATATACATACACAGACAACAATATAAGACGTCTTTCTCTCTCTCTCTTACATACAGATAAAACAACTTTCACTCTCTTACATACATGCACAACATTATAAGAATAATTCTCTCCTTCACACATTCACACTGAATAATAAAAAACAACTCTCTCTCTCATACACACACACACATAACAGTATAAACCCTCTTTCTCTCTATCTCTCTCTTTCACATACTAAACAATATGAGACAACGTTCTCTCTCTCTTTCACATACAAAACAATATAAGGCTATTTCCCCCTTCTTTCTATGTCTCTCTCTCTCTCTTTCTCTCACACACACTGACACATGGTCTTCTCTCTGCCTCTGTCTGATTATCTATGTGTCACTCTCTTTCACACACACACACCCAGATAAGTTTCGGATCCTAACATCATTTTTTAAGACTTATAATAATTATTTCTATCTCCACAATGTCTAATAAGACACAAGGTCGTTTTAATATGAGTCACACAGACACACGCCCACATGTGTGTGTGTGTGTGTGTGTGTGACTCACATTAAAATATATTTACCTGGGATGTATGCCCAGTATCACAATTCAGGTCAAAATTAAGTAAAATTCGCTCGAGCCCCAATAGGCCGTTCAAGGCAGTACCTATCCCTCAGGAGACGGCTACGCTTAATCCCTGTCGCCTGAGACGTCCTCAAAGGGAAAGCGCCGGGGAAGCATGAATTGTCCATACTCCCAGGTACGCGTGGGACTCCCACTAGAAACCTGGCCATATGTTACATTCCGTTTGAGTGAGCGTGCAGATAAATACCTACTATCCTGTTAGCGCGTCTCTGGTCGTCGGGGGTATTTTTCTATTTTTTTTTTTCTTTCTATAAACATAGATTAAGCACTCCTGATCATGAATATATTTTTTTACTAAATTTTATTTTTATAAAAGTTAATAGATTAACTTTTGTAGGTTATTTAAAGCTAGAAAATATTTTTAGATTGTAAGAATTTTTGGAGATAATAATGATTTACTGATACAAGTACTACTAATTAACCCATAGCTGGGAGAGAAGAGGTGTATTCCTACCTTTCCCATGGGTATTTGCGCAAAGTGAATATAAAGAACGCGACTGGAATTGGAACTTGTCTCTCCGATTTCCAATTTCCAGTCGTTATTCATTAAACCACCCGCACATTCAAGCTTACAACATCGGGTCTTCCCAAGCGGTCACACACACAAGTAGTGTCCAGGCTCGGTGTTGCTTAACTTCGGTGATCGTACGAGAACTGGTGTTTTAACGTGATATGGCTGCTAGCAGGACTTCAAATCAAGACTGATAATTCCCCATTGATCCAACGATTTGGATTCCCATTATGGGATAGTCATCATTCGGGAAGTTTGGCGGGTAGTTTGACAGCTATCGGCACCGAAAACGAACTTCAAATTCCAGCCTAATCTGCTGCTTTCACTTTAGAGCAAATGCCCTTAGGAAAGGCATGAGACTACCTCTTCTCCCACTAGTTGGGTAGATTGAATTCTTAGATGGGAACCAGTCCAGTGAAAAGAATAACAATTCGTTCATATATAAAAAAAACAGAATCTGTGGAGAGCCATGATCGCCTACGTCTCGAAAGGACATGGCATTTTTTAAACCTTCACCAGCAAAAAAAAAAAAAAAATCAACAAAAATAACAAACAAACCCATAACTATTTTAATTCAGTTTCCCATTTTGTATTAATGTGAATTGTGATGTGCTTATCTTACAAGCATTAAATATAATAAACGAGCTTGTGTAATTTGTTTTAATCATTTCACCCCAAACAAAGCAATAGAGCCACTAAGACGCAAGGGTTTACTTGGCGTGAGAGAATATGAGAAATAAAAAAACATTATTAAGGTGTAAGAATAATTAAAAAAACAATAATTAATAGACAGAAGATAATGATTGGCATCGCATTTATATTTTTGAAGATCAAAGTTTACTGGAAAGCAAGAAGCAGGGACAGAGTTCCCTCAAGCTAGAAATGCAAGAGAAGAAACAGTTAGCATAGAATTGAAAGTTACACCTAGCCATTGCGGCTGTAAAGTAATGAGACTTAATTGCCAATCTAGTAGTACACTTAAATTCATAAAGTTTAGGTACCAAAGAGGAAAGCTTAGAAAATTTTATGAAAATATTCATAGAAAAGGCAGAGGGAAGCTACGTTATGGCAGTGGGAAAATGACTGAAGCAGAGATGCCAGGTCAGGACTAATAACATTGCACATTCTTCTTTGGAATTTTTTTCAAGAATATCTAAATATATAGCAGGAGCACCAAACCAATATCCAATATTATGTTGCACTAAGATTAGCATTGTAAAGCAAGACGTCGGAAGAGAATTCCACAAGCGAGAAGAAGAAATGGAATGGCGGGATAGTAAAAGAACAAACTTATTCCTTCAAAGGAGAGGAAATTGTGGAGAACCATGTCCGCCAACAACCTGATGAAACAGAAACAACAATTAACCTATCTAACGAGCTTGTGTAAATAGTAGAACATAACCTGGGATAGATAGGCGACAAAAAAATCTGTTCATTGAAGAGGAAATATGGGTCTCTCATGTATATCTTAACTGAAAACACTACTAAAAACATCAAGTCCATATTCCTCATTGATCTTCTTCTTCTTTATGGGCTGTGTCCCTTCAAGGCGTAGTCGATCATGGCCCTCCACATCTCCCTGTCCTCCGTAGCTCTTAAAATTTACTAATAAAAAATAATCTATATCAGTCATGGGCAAACTGTAGCTCGTTTTGTCTTTCTGAATGACATGCTTAATTTCATAAGGAAAATAACGTTACTTTAATTTTCTTTGTTTCGTTCTCACTTGTTCACTCACACATTCTCTCAGATATAACCATATACATAAACAATGATTAAGTACTGTTGTCTTTGTTCGAAATAGTCGAGAATTAGGAATTCCGTGGTTAGAGAGAGTATCGAAGGAACAGAAGACTACGTAGAGGAAACAAAGAAGAGATTTATTAAATACTCCTACATAGAACGGAATAGCTTGAGCAAACTCAATACTACTCAAATCCAACTCTAATGTAGCTACTTGTCATATTTATAAGTTGGAGCAGTCCATTGTCACAGTAGTAGGGAAGAGCAGGAAGGACGCTGAGTCCTACTCTACAATAAAAGTACAAAGTTTCTTAAATTTTGTAAACTTTCGGTCTTATCGAGTCGTTACAGCACACCCTTTCAGTGTTGCACACAAAACCTTGCCTAGGGTGTTAAGGTTTCAAGGTCGTTAAATGTGTATGGATTTTCAAGATTTTTGTGATGTCAACGAACACTCGTTTGACACTTTTGTGATGCCAACGAATACTTGTTGTCACTTTCGTAATAGTCGTTGTAGTAGAGACTTTGTAATCGCAGATAAAACTATAGTAACCCCGTCGAACAATACTGATCTCCGACGCCTTCGAATACACGATAATACTCTCTCGAACAGTAATCCGTGTAGTGATCCGTATAGAGAAATAGTATAGTGAATAGAGTAGAGAATAGCGCTACTTATAGTAATACAGGATAGAGTAGAAATAGCGATCAGTATAGTATAGAGGATAGATTGGAAATATGGATCGTTTAGACTTCACGCTACTACGTACTTATACGTTTCTCCCATGGTCACGTGGTCCATTTAATTCAATAATGGGATCGCCTGTGTTTGCTCACTGGTGATCTATGTTCAAACTCAAGTGTCAGCAGCGTCACTTTATTCCTATATACGATATATATATATATATATATATATAGAGAGAGAGAGAGATTGAGGCAAACTAGAAGATGCTCCATAGTTTGTGATTGTCCGCATTGGCAATTGGGATCAACATTGGTAGCATTTCCCCATTTCTGAAGGTTGGCGCGACTAACAGCTGCTCGGAGGCAATTCAGGCAAGACCAGAAGGGTCAGGTGTTACTGGAGCCAAGAGGGTAGGGGGGGTTCTGTAGGGCTGGGAGAGAGCCTGTCTTCCACGTTGTTAAGGTGGTTACAACACAAGTCATTTTAAACTACTGGCGATTTTCACTAAAGAAGATCATACGTATAAACTGAATATATTTTGCTTTTGAAACAAGAGACCTTCATAATAATTTTTCAAAGAAGAAGAAATATGTTTTAATTTTCAAATGAATAAACTAGAAATAAATCACACGCAACGACATGTGTTAATCAAACTGTCATCAGTGGTAGTATTATGTTAATTAATCAGCAAAACCTTTCTCTCTTTGACTATGTTTTCAACTGATTAACATTTTTTTTCTCGTTATCTCGTGTTATCTCATTCGCAGTATCTTCATACCACGAGGAGTAACTTCACTCATTCTAACATATTATACCAAGAATTTAATTTTTTAATAATCGGACATTTGACTTTTTTCTAAAAAGAAAAAAACAACAACTTTTCTTCCATTTCTAAGGTATATGCTTACGTATATGGTCTTCTCAGTGGCGACTCTAGGTCATCAATGTTTGTTGGGCTCATTACAATCTTTAACAAAATATACTATTGGTATAACTTAGATACGTGTGGCGGAGAGCTCTTCTTTTATAATATAGATCAAGCATAGGCAACCTTTTTTGAGTCAGTGGGGCGCATGATTTATGACTCATCACAAGGTGGGCCGCACCACTAAAAAGATTCAAGGTAATTTTTCGTACTAGTCACCTTGGCTATTTTCACTACAGAAGACCCAGTGGTGACACTGGGGGTAGGGCTTGTAGGGCTCAGACCGAGTGAGTCAACATTCAACATAGTGCGTCATTTTCATTCTTGACCTCAGCTGGATCCCAAATTAATTGTTTTAATTGCTTGCCTCAAAATATTGACCGAAATACATTTTGTTGATATTGTTCATAAGAAAGAAAAAAAAACAAGAAAGAAAGTAACAAAAGAATTAAATAAAATTAATGTGACTAGTCGGAAGCAATCATCACATATGTAACTAAATAAACGATTGAGGAAAACTATAAACATATTCTTACTACAATATTTATTTAAGTATGACAAGAAACATCAATAATAATAAAAATACCATTATAGTAATGTTGTTTTTTTGTGACTTTGCATATGGCTATATAATATATATGCATATATGTGTTGTGCATAAGTGACTTACATGTGCTTATGACATTTTAATTAACACACACACACACACACACATATATATATACACAGACACCGACAATTTAACTGAGTTTGAAATAAGATATTGTTCTCTCATTTTGAGTAATAAATTTTTTAAAAAGTTAGCGATTTAAAAAACAATTTTTTTTTTCGAAACCCTAAAAAAAAGGAGTCGACCGTGATCGGGATCATTGACTCAGTGTTAGTGATCTTTTTCTTAGTTGTTTAGTATGTGCTTCGCAAGGGCTACATACAGTTTTGAATTCAGAGTTTTCCTTTTTCAGATTTCTAATTCCAGTTGAGTTTCTTGGGAAAGGTATGAATCTACTTCTACTCTCCCAGCTATGGGTTAATTAGTAAGACTTGTATTACTAAATCATTATTATCTGTAAAACAATTATTTCAATCTAGATATATTTTCTGGCTTTAAATAACCTTTAAAAGGTTGATAAGCCGTTAAGCGAATCATTCAAATCAAATCAATAAGGCCTGGGTAACAGGTAAAGAGTATAAACCGGCCCTTTGAAGTTATTTTATGACTCCTTATTTATTTTAAAAGAATATATTTTTTAATAAATATAGTATTTCAAATGAACAAACAATTTAGACTTAAAATTGGATCATCCTGCCATCAACGAAATGACACGTACCAAACTAGTATCATAAATGCCGGTTCAAATAAATGATTTCTTTATTTAAACTGAATATAAAGAGTGTGCCAATAACTTTGACCGATTTTAAATGTGAATTAAGTTTAAGTGTCTAATGATTTTTTCTTTTTCTTTCAGATTTGGCAATTTTAACCATGAAAAGATTAACACTCAAACAACATGTTAAAGTTATCGAAGCCTATTACGAAAAAAGTTCAAATTCATAAATATATGGCCCAATAATAAAATAAAAAATCATAGAATATGCAAATACAACTCTCTCCTGTAGTCTCACGTGTCACAATTATGACCAATGAGCTATCAAATAACACGATCCATGAACTCCCTCACTCTATCTCTCCCTATATATATATATATATATATATATATATATATATATATATATATATATATATATATATATGTTCATATTTCTTTCTCTATCAGTTCATATATATTTCTCACATCTCTCTCTCTCTCTATGTATCCTGTTCATATCTATCTGTTCGTATCTTTCTCTATTTTCATATCTTTACCTATCTCTTTTTCTCTCTATCTGCAGATATTTTTATATATATCAGCCTATGATGATTTAGCACACAATAAGGATGCTAATTGTAGATTATTGTTCCTTTCTTTTTTAATAAGAAAATCTGAGTCGAATACTTGCACAAACTTTTAAAAAAATATCGGATGTTTATAGCCTCACTTTCAATTGGAGAGGGAGTTTACGAAAAAATAGTCTGCTTTTTTTTTCATTTTCTTTCTTTCTTTCTTTCGCGTATTCGTAAATGAGACAGTAATTTTTAAAATCATTTATTTATTTAAATGTAAATTGGGAAAATGCTAAAATGAGACGGCCTTTTTCAAAGTAAATAATAAAATGACTGCAGAGTCAAATATTCAAACTATTAAACAAAATTATGAGATTTTAAATAGTACAAAAATACACGGCGAGTTTTCCATTTATCAACATGAAAAAGTTACTTAACGAAATGATTTTTCCTTTAAGTAAGATATATATGACGATCCTTTCAAAAAAATACTGTTGCTTACGTTTCGAGAACGTGACTGAAGCTAGCAGATATAGATTCATAGAAGTCCCTACGAGAAATGTGCTTTAGATAATTTAAACCAATGGAGGTTCGATTCCTGTCGGAGGTATACATTTTTTGACTGTTATCAGTTTCACTGTTTAAGAAAATATAAAAACAAAAAAAAAAACAGGAATAGGAACACAAACACCTATGTCCCCTAAAAATAACGTTTATAATAAGAAGAAATAATGGCGGATAAAAACTTATTTCTCTCTCTCTCTCACACACACACACACACACACATGGGGGGGTGTTCGTGTGTGTTCCCTACCCTTTTTGCTGAAAATAAGAACTATTTATTTGATGTGAGTTGTTTCAGACAGATAGATAGAAGATATGGCATTGAAATATGTATAAAATTTATGCGTACGATATAAAACGCATTAAAAAGTAACAATACATACGTATATAAATATATAAAGAGAGAGAAAGAGAGTAACAATACATACGTAATAAAAGTAACAATACATACAGAGAGAGAGAATGTATTTAACATATGTTTAAAAAAAAATCCCCTTTCAATGAGAAAGTGAAACTGAGCACATTGGAAACAATCTAGCACTTTTTCGTATATACTTAACAAAGCATGCGCATGCGCAAAATGTCCTTCACGCACATGCACGTACACACACACATTATATATTTTACATAGTCCAATATACCATCTCCTCTGGATATAGAGATTTTATTTAATGTGGGTTGTTATAGATAAATAAAGAACAGATTGAGCTAAAAAGACAGACAGATAGGTACATAGATAAGTAGATAGATAGATCACAATTATTAAATATAATTATTATCTTTGTCCAGCGGAGATGACATTGAAATGTGTATAAAATATTTAATATGCCAACGATCTATAAAACGCATTTAAAAAAGTAACAAAACTTACGTAAATATATGTGTGTGTATTCCCTACCCTTTTTGCTGAAAATAAGAACTTTAATGTGAATTGTTTCAGATATATAGATATCAAACAGATGACATTGAAATGTGTATGAAATATTTAATTAATAGGCGTACGATATATTTAAAACGTATTAAAAATGTAACTATATATATATATGTATATATACATATATATAGAGGAAAGAATAACAAATAATATATATATATATATATATATATATATATATATATATATATATATATACACACACACACCGGTGTGTGTTTAACATATGTTTAAAAAATCCCTTTCAATTTGAAAGTGTAACTGAGCACATTGGGAACATTCTAGCACTTTCTCGTATATACTTATGTGCATGTGCAAAACGTTCTTCACACACATGTACACACACATCGAAAAAGACACACACATATATTGTATATAGTTCAATATACCATCTCCCCTGGATAAAGAGATTTTAATTAATGTATGTATATATATATATAATCCACAATTTACATTAAGTAAAATCTTTTACCACAGAAGATGATATATTGAAATGTGTATACAATATTTGATATGCGCACGATATATTTGATACGCACTAAAAAAAAGTAACAACATACACATAGGTATATTCAATACTTCGCTAAAAAAAAGAACATACCCTGATGAAAAAAAGCCCCTAAAGTTGATAAACAATTTTTTTTTATCTAAAAATGTTGATGCTATTATTAAGAGGAAAGACCATTCATAATAGCCATTAAGTGCTTTTCTAAATCATGTCTTAGTTTTATAATTCAGAGCTAAATTTTGGATAGAAACGCTTCTCGATTTACAAAAAAAAAAAAAGAATCGATGATTTATATTCTTCAAAGTCTTCTGCATTTAATTGAAAAATCACAAAAATGCACATTCGAGTTTTCGAATATTCATAACATTAAGTAAGGGCAGTGAGTAGCAGATGTAAAAAATATTTTTACTGTGACTTTCTAAAAACAATAATTTTTAAAATAATTTCATTTCATTTATTTTTGAATAAGTTCTGAAAGTTTCATTAAAATCAGACAATTATTTGATTTTTGCAAGAATTTCCAAATTAATGTGCTTTTCAACTGAAAAACAACTAAAAAAAAACTAATGCTAAATATTACGCGACCGCTGACGTAAAAAAAAGGTTTTAACCGAAATTTCGAACGTGCGAGAAAAGATTAAAATTTTTTTTAAATAATTAAAAATACTTTGGTCTTTCCTAATAACATAAACATTTTGGCGAAAAAACTTTGTTTTTTAAGTTTGCGACCTTTTTCATCATGCTATGCTGTTTTTTTTTTTTTTTCGGCGAATTGATGAATATCCTTTACTTTAACTCATATAATGATCATATAATGATCGCCTAAAAAAGTAACAAAAACATACACTTCACACACACACATATATGCATGTATGCGTGTAGAGAGAGAGATAGCTTATGCTTAACATGTTTTAAAAAATTCCCTTTTAATGTTAATGTGAAACTAGGAATTTTGAGAACTAACATTTTCGTATATAGATATGACAAAGGATAGGTATGTGCAAAAATTCCTACACACACACAAACAAACACGGTCGCAGTTTTGGAAATTCTTAGTTTCATTTTCGCAGTGAAAGGGAATTTTTTAAAATTTATATTTCTTTGAATGAGTTATTACTGACGAAATACAAGTTCTTGAACTTAAAAGTAAGAGTATTTGGCCAGGCATTTATCATAAAAAAAATACATGCTGAAAGCGAAAATTAATCTCAAAATTCAAGTCATTTTAAATAAACCTGTCAGTAAAGGATTTTTAATATATTTATAATTTTATTGTAGGAATAAAATACAATGAAAAATACTCTTTTTTTTTGTTTTGTTAAGTTTCTTCAAATCGGAACTTATGTTTTTTACGACTGACATAAGCTGTTTTAAGAATCCACAAATTTTTTAACTAAATTCCTCCCCATTTTGAATTGTCATTGCGTAATTTTTTCGCCATTATATGAGTAAAAACATGAATGACGAATTAATACTGTTTCTATTCTTCCTTAAAGTAAATGTAAGTTAAGCGCTCCTGTCCTAGAGCGATGATTAACCTCGTACGTAGACTGATCTCTGGAGTAACAAGTTCGATTCTAACTGGATGCTCCAATGTTGTGACCTTAAGAATTTTTTTCTTTTTTTTCTTTTTTCTTTTTTATTCTCATAAATTCATTTTTCATGACCATCTTGTGATATTTTTTATGATTAGATCAATAGGGGAAAGGAAACATTTTAAGCGATGACCGATGCAGAAGCCATTTTTTAAATTCCTTTTTTATGAGGACTGATGACTACACAAGAACTCTTTCTTGCTCTTTTTTATGCTCATACAACACTACACAATAACCTTCTACCTTGAGTGGCTCTTAGGCCTTGTATTGGGTAAACATTAGTAAAAAAAAATAAAAATAAATACAATTTCGTATATTAAAGCGTTGGTGCGTGAATTTGGTGAAATAGTATTTGTGAGTTCAATCCCTGAAACAAGTAGTGCAGACTTAGACTCAGAGGAAACAGGGTTTGATTGATTGATTATTTTTTTACGGTTTAACAACCTTTTGTGTATTATTTAAAAATCGAAACGTATTTCGGATTATAAGGTCATTCACAGTAACTGGTGTTCCAAGTGGTCTCCCATCTAAATACTGATCAGGCTCGGCACTGCTTAACTTTAGCGATCGAACGATAACCAGTGTTTTCGGCATGATTTGACCGTAGAAACAGGGCGAGCAGTAACTAAGCAGTACTAAACAAGAACGAGGCAAGATATCTCGGGATATCGACACAGGAATAAGAACAACCTACCCAGTAGATTCAATAAAGGGTTCAGTACGAAATTGCATAAAGGTGTGGTGAGTACGAAATAATAACTCACTTTACTTCAAATTCGGGCAAGCTGAGGAAAAAGACGGATAGAAATTCGCGACTCTATAGGAAATTTTCTTTGGACCAATGAAAACCTTGACTTCACAGAAATTAGCCGTTAAGCCCAAAAAAAAAAAAAAAAAAAAAAGAAACAAAAGAAAATAGTGAGCCTATGCGAAATCCCTTTTTATATAAAATGAGGGAAAATAATTAAATTAACAAGAGAAGAGAGTCCGAAGTCATGTGAAAGGTTTCGTTTCTGTTCACTCGTCCAGATTTTCGCCAGTGTCAAATTACTCGCCAATTATATTATCGACCTTAACCAAGCATCTGGTACTTCAAAGAACTTTATTTCAACAAGCCAAGAAAGCAAAGTATTTCAAAACTCTTTCTTCGTCTACTTTTGAATGCATGAAACCGTATATCACTTCTATGAGCAACAAACACTCTTAAGTGTTTCTAAAATATTTTTGAATATTATTTTCTGTCAGATCATTTAATCTGCTGTATGAACATTTCCTCTTCATGACAATTCATTGAAAGTACAAATTTTTAAAATCTCTGACTTATTTTCCTGAAACGAGCTACTGACACAACTTCAAGCGTGTAAATTCATAAATAAATTCCGTATCTTGTTTTGTTAAAATTCACTTTGTGTTTTTTCATCATTACCATATTTCATTAATCTATTTGGCGTGGGTAAATCAACTGTTCATTTTAACCACGCTAGTGTAAACATTAGCTGGATCGAGAGACACCTGAATAAAGCCGGTGGGTACAACGGCAAAAACGTTGTGGCATTCACAACAAAGATGAGGACATTGGTTTGAATGCAAATAAATAAATATAGAGAAGAGTTAACTTCAATGACACTTCTAACATTTCTCTAATATGCACAAAACGACGTCTTAAATTTTCGCATAGACTTAATTCAAGCAGAGCGCCACAAAATAAAACAGTCGGGGGTTCAGTGGGTGACCGTGAGGTCAGTATTTTCTATTTGGTTCACTCATGAAATGTATATATTTCTTTTTTAGATATATTCTCCAAATGTAAATATTTCTTTTTTGTTTTGACTTTAAATACACAATTTTGGGGTTTTTTGGTTTCTGAAATGAGATCTATAGACTTTTGCTTTCCGTAAATGGAAGTTTCGTGGAAAAAAAAGAAGAAAAAAAGGGAAAATAAAATTTTATGATTTATTTTGAAAATTGATGGTAATAACGATTTTAGACAAAACATAGAGTTCAGCCCAGTAGAGAAAGACTGCAATAAACTGAGGCAAAGAAGACAAATTTAATCTATTCAGTTCGCATTTTCAGCAAAAAAGGGAATATAGGGGGTTCGCGACTTACGTCTGATATCCGTTCCTATGAACAGATATCAGACGTAACCTGATTTTCGACGTAGATCGGAAATCACCTAAGCACCCACGAGTTTGCTTTACGCTTAGGAGCCAAAATGCAGGGCATAAAGTCCCCCCCCGGCCAAAAAAAAAGCCGATACAAACGTGAGATAGCGAATGTAACGCAATCCAATATGGCGTACAGCCCGTGAATAAACAACGCCGTTTTCCTCATATAGCGCCGCGTGACGACGTATTATATGGAGATGGACGTAACCCAAGGACCTTTATATTCAGTATAGTTGCAGTATAAACCACAGGTTGGCTCTTTGGGTGTTGAACAAACACATATTTCTGAGCGAGAGTCTGCAAGAGGGATTGGCTAGCCGTCCTGATAGATGGGTATCCTCGAATACGAGTGGTCAGCTATATATATATATATATATATATATATATATATATATATATATATAGGGCCGGTGCGTACTAACCCAGAACCTCCTGACCGGAGGTGGCAAGCATGATTGTGTTCCTCGGGCAGTGCTTTGTGACCCTCGCTATCTTATCAACAATATTTTTTTTTTTTTTACCTACATTTATATACATTACAAATTAAACTAAGCACTATTAGATCGTTAAAGGGTGAAATATTTTCACGGATTTTGATGTCATGCTGGGGTCTTTTTTCTTCATCCAAATCCGTAAATTTGTTTTGCTCATGCTAAGTCACGAAAGAACACAATATAAAATTCACTATTTCTTATCCATAATGTTAATTAAACGTGTTAAATTATTCAACTTTTTAAAAAGAAAAGTCTCAAGTTAAAAATTACCGCAAAACATTGTTGGTTGATTTATTTAAGATGGAATGATCTATATTATGACATGTCTCATTCGTATTTATTTTCAATTTTTCCAGTTGAATAGTTCGCGTACATTGCATATGATCCATTATTGTACATAATTAAGTTACAATAGAATTTATATTTCATATGAATACTACCTTATAAAAATTGAGATGCAGTAGAGTGGGGGTCCCGTATCATGGATTCTGAGGAGGGGGCTATCATAGATTGGGGGCACGAGACCCTTGCACTGGCCCTGCGGGAATATGAGTGACTGGGAATTTAAGTGAGATCGTTTCATGTAACCGACACACATTTTTCATTGACGTTTTTCCTTCGCTCCCAGCAAAAAAATAAAAAAAAATAAAAATATAAGCATTCAGAAAACATACGGTTAGAAATTTTAAGACCAATCATCATAAAGTCATGATAAATAGCATTGTCATTGTGCTTACGTAAATCGTGTTGATTTTCACAAGGGGAATCCCCTGCCACGCGTCAGGCTGGCAGCCATCATTAGTCACATAACTGAAGCACTATTTTTACCAAGTATATCTTACTCCACAAAGGACGTTAAATCCACTCATTTTTTTACAACCTTAAAAAAAAAAAAAAAGAATAGGTAACTGAAAAAAGCGATGCCTTAGCTTTAAAATTCATTTTGAAAATGAAATATCATTCTTGCAGCTTTTATTTTATTTTTAATTCGAAGTTAATATATAAAAATAGATTTAAATAATAAGCAAAATACGTTTCTGTATTTCAAACCGAATTTAAACTGACTGGAATGTTCTTTTCTGATTATCAGTAAAAAGGATGAAATCGACCATATTGACAAATCTGTCAACATAATTTTTTTATTAAAAACTTTTCAGAAATAGAATATAGTTTTTTGAAACGATATTTGAGAAAAATTAACTGATTTAAACTTTTAATTGAAACAAATATTAGTTACTCTTAGTTTAGAATATCGCTGAAAACATTTTTTGAGTTGAGTGCTTTTATTAGGTGCTAACAGTTTTATCGACAGCCTGATGCTTGGCAAATTTTTAAGGTAAAATTTGTTTTTATTAAGTTTTGGGCATTTTTCATTATGCATGTTCATTTTTAGGGAATCTTTGTAGGTATCTATCTATCTTCTTTTTTTTTTAAAGAAGAATAGTTGATGTATTTATTTATAATCCGACAATTTCTACAATATTATAGTGGATACTTGGTATTTAAAATAGACGCCCCATATATATATATATATATATATAATTATACAGTAAATATTATACCAAAAGGTATAATAGAGTAAGTATTATACCAGCATTACCAGTTTTATAATAGTGGTTCTAGGATTTATTTAATATTAGAATTAATTAATTTAATTCATTAAAACAATTTTTAATATTTTTATTTTCATAAATTTTATTTTTGAGTATATAATAATATTAATGTTTTGCAGGTAAAGTTGTAATTTAACGATGGCTGTTAATTTAACGCACAAGAAGGGGAAATGGATTTGGAAACAATCCTGGCAGGTCAGAGAATAGTGAACGTGTGTAACAAATACAATGCGTTTTGTGTGCATGTTTTGTTTTTCATTACTGTACAGTCTGTGTACAGTAATGAAAAACTACTGTACAGTGTACAGTGGTGTGCAGAAGTGGGGCAGATGGTGCGACTGCCCCGGCCATGCAATCAAAGAGTGTAATAAAAATTTAGTTTATATTTAATTTGAATAAAAATGTTTATTTCATGTTTCATCTGTTTTTACATAATTAAATTGTCTTTCTTTCTCATATTTCTTAGTACTAGGACCCATAGGCCCCACAATCAAGGAGTTGACTCCAGGCATCACCAAACCCCTGCACGTCACTATTACTGTATACACACACTAGGAGTATAACATGTCTTTACTGGGAATTTTTGCCGTTCTGTTGAAGTAGTTTAAGTTTAAAGTCAGCTCACCCGAAAATCAATATTAGCAACAATATTTGGGAGCAACTGAAGCACACCCCCAAATGGGTGTTAAACAATTTGAATTGGGGGGGGACTGAAAAAGAAACTACATAATAATAAATAATATTATTGTAATAATTTAAACTATTTATTTTTATTCAAGTTTTTATGAAAGATATATAGCCAAGAACAGATAGTAAATAGTAAAACGCTGCTGAGAGTTATAATGAACAGGAAGTAGTGGAGAGCCATTGTCACCAACAATTTGGACTCAAAACCGGCATTGAAGAATTATCTATCAAACAAAAAAAAATTCATGAAAATCGGATGAAAGAAACTATGGAAATGCATAAACAACATCCGATAACACACACATTTTGAGAATTATATATATAGATATATATCAACATTTCAGATAGAAATTTTGTCTTTATTCACTTATATATATATATATATATATATATATATATATGTGTGTGTGTGTGTGTGTGTGTGTGTGTGTGTGTGTGTGTGTGTAGGTGTTAGTGTGTGTTCTTTGCAAAGGTTGTAAAAAAATTTGTAAAGTTGAAGTCCACCGTGGAGCAATAATTAACACTATATACTCTACGCATCTACCAGATTTGTTTGCTAACTTCTGTTTCACGGAGAAACGTCATTTTTTACAACCTTTTTAATAATGATAATACTATGTGTGTGTGTGTATATGCATGTATAG